TCCTGGAATATTCAGAAATAATAAAACTCTAGAATATCAAGCTTATCAAGCTTTTTCATGAATTTTTCTGGAGATTTCTCCAGATCCTCCAAGCTAAACAAACTCCTAGTACTAGAGCTGTACGGTCAGCTTCAAAACTATATTGAAAGTCACATAAGTTTTTTGTTGGGGAAACATTTAGCGTTATTGTGGTCATGAATGTATGTGAACACAAAGCTGTTAGAAACTTTATCCTTCGCCCTCTACCCCTTTAAAACAGGAAGCCCACAACGACCGTGAGACATTTCTACCTTTGTGAAGTTAACCCACTGATCCTGCAGAGTTTCACTGTCCAAAACCAGCTATAAACATTCAGAGATCACACAATGACCCTAAACTGCAACAAATACTCTGTAACCAAGTGACTGGCTGAACTGAAAAAATAATGCAAACGTCATTAACTTAATATTAAATGACTTTAACTCAATTGTTTCATGTTAGCAGGGTAAGACATACAATAATTGTGTTAAAGTAACTAAATATCATTAGTAAATGCCAAAAACGGCTGCATTGTTGTTTTGAGCTGGTTTGTTTTATCTATGACTCAAACTTCTCACATTATTCTTTTATTCATTAGTTATTTATCAAGATTAAAGAGAACTGTGGAGTTAGGAAGCTGAAACAGAGGCAAGTTTTGCAAAAACATAGATTTATTTTACGTCCGTAGATGGAGAGATAAAGCTCTTACTGGAGCAAACCCAGCACACACATTTAAACTGTACAAATCCCAACACACTCTCTCCCTTTGGACCATCCCAACCTCTGCATAAAGAACTTTTTCACACTCGAACATTGGAGCAAAGTAACCTCAGTTCAACAAGGACATTCCCTGTTAGGTGAATACATCTTTCACTGGCCAGATAAACATTTTAGAACTGGTGTTTTCTGTTCACGGCATGAGGGAGGCTGTGTGAACTCATTCTTTATCTCTCATAACCTTCCCTTCACCCTCGTCTAGGGTAAGGAGGCAACAGCTTTCTGTTGCCCCTACCTTAAACATTCCAGCATAGGGACTGGTACAAGATTTCTTTGAAATCACTCCTATTAGGACAAGAAAAAAGATGCTTTCTCAGAACTTTACCAGAAAAGCTGACATAGCGACACCTGACTTTCATCTGACTTTTATAAAACTATTACAAAATTATAGTTGCAATATAAATATATGTAGTTTGTTTAGTTTTGTATAATTTAACATTACTCTGAAATAACAAACATCTAAATGGGCTGCAGCCAGTTTGTCTTAATCTTTCTCTTAATATAACTGTTGACGAACTGTTGTCAGTAAGTTTGGATTTATCTGCAGATTCAGTTTCTAAGCAGAAACACGTCTGCAGATGCATGAAGGGGTGTTTGTGGGTTTCCTGTTAGTTTACACAAATACTGAACCATGTGAGAGGTTTTTCAACGTATGGGGTCATTTTTATGCAAAAGTCAAGACGGCCAAAAGTACATCATAATAAACCCCAATGGAAGAAAACAACGATTTTCTGCACAACTGCTCTTCTTTTATAGCAGTAGAGCAGCTATTATATAAAGAAAGTGATTTTCAGTAAAGAAATGAAAATCACCTTTTAAAATTAATCATTCCAAAAAACAAAAATCAACTTAAAGAGTTTGCAAAACCAAACAGTGGTAATCATTTTTAGGGGCAGTAAAAGCTTCACTTTCGCTGCAAAGTCTCTCTGTTTAACCGTTGCTTCGTTTTCTGCATTGCTAAAGGAGCTGCAGTCATTAGAAAAAAAAAAGGCTAACATAAAATTAAACTTTCATGTGAAATAATTTAGTCCTAGAATATTCAAAAATGATCAAACTCTACGGTATCAAGCTGGAGATTTCCTCAGTTCCTCCGAACTTAACAAACTGCTGGTACTAGAGCTGTACAATCAGCTTCAAAACTATATTAAAAGGCACAGAGTGTTTTGTTGAGGAAAACATTTTGCTTCATTGTGGTCATGAATGTCTTTGAACACAAAGCTGTTAGAAACTTTAGCCTTCACCCTCTACCTCTTTAAAACAGGAAGCCCACAACGACCATGAGGCATTTATAGCTCTGCGGAAGTTAAACCACTGATTCTGCAGAGTTTCACTGCTAATCACAATGTAAATCGCAATTACAACAAATTTTTTGTAAAGCTTTATATTTCACCTTTCAAATACGGTGAACTTTGAGACTGCACCAAGTTACCAGTTTTAGCAGCGTGAGGGACAGTTTGGGTGTTGGAAGGCCTTCTATTGGCCGGGAACAATAACAATCTCCTTCTGGCTACAGGATAGTTTTGATGATAAATGAAGGTCCTGAATCCAGAAGGGATCCAGGTTGGTCAAGGTGTCTATTGTGGGAACAGACTAATAAATAAAAACGGTGTATCTTTAAACAGATCAGTAATTTAGAAAGCGTCAGACCCCTTCTGAAGGGCCAAGGACAGGTAGGCAATGGTTGGAAATCCACTGACGAATAAATGTTTGAATTTAATCCATAACTCCTATTTAATCAAAACTTCTTTGCTCTGTCAACAAAATGAATCCTGGAGAGCAAATGTAGGAACAGAGTATTTCATCTTAACAGAGGTTAGCTGAGAAATTTAATCATGCTAATTTATCATGAATTTAGTTACATTGCAAAAGCATATCTGAACTAAAGCCTTTATTGATCAATCAGTTAAATCTGATAGAACTTAAGAAATTAATAACAGTTAAAGATTTGTAATGTAAATATCAGGCCAGAGTATTAATTTACAAACAGCCCAGTTTTTGTGAAAACGGCGCTCATGGCTGCAACCTGACCGTTGGAACACGCTGGTTCTGCTTCGTCATTAGGTGATGGAAACATACCTGCATGACGTTAATCAAACAGCTTTCAGAAGAACAACAACAAAAGGTAAACAGATAAAGTGAATCGCTGAAGCTTCATTATGAAACCAAAAACATGAATGAGTGGAAGTTAGTATATATCTGAAGAAATCATGTATTTTTGTTCATTTTCATGATGTGAGCGTGATGGTGGTGCCAGTTAGAAACCTTGCTAGCTCCCTATGCTAAATGAACTATGATAGAAGTCTGAATATCATGGTGTCTGCTGATGCATATAAAGAATTATTACCGATTTTTGTGATCGTGATTTAGCTGACAGGTAAGACGGGTTTCCATGCAAAGAAGGGTTGAGAGGTCCTGAAGCATGCTTCTTGTTTCTGCTGCTTTTTCATGTGTTGTTTAGTCGGATGTGGTGCAATTTTTGACGATGTAGATGCAGAAAAGCATTCTGTTTAAGAGAATCACATGGTCGTTCAGAAACAGGCCGTTCTTTAGGATGTCTAAACAGCTGCAGACTGCAATAAAGGGGGAATTGTGTCTCTGTGTGGGTTCCTTCTTAGCCTTTATAACGAGTTATAATTGCTTAAAAAATTCTTTATGTGGTTCTTGCAGTTTGCTGCACCGATCTGTATTGATATTGGAGTCATTATAATATAAATATAAATATAAATATAAAGTATTCACACGTTAAACTAAGCCTGTATTGCTCCGAGGTTTTTCTCAAAGTGCTTCATTGCTGGTTGACTTGAACACATGTATTTCATGTTTTTCAGTTATATTAATATTTATTTGCAGTTTTAACCACATTCTCAGGTCAAGTTGAACGATGTGAACTGAAATATGTTTAAGTTTTGAATTTATTCCATATGTGTGCAGAGTTCTTTGATAATCTGCTGTCCTAACACCACAGCTGAACCGGGCATGTTCATAGGACAAAATGTGACAGAGTGAATGTTATTTGATTTCACATTAAATGACAAATTCATGCAATTGCAAAAGATGTATGATGATATGATACTAATCATTTGATCACGTGAAATTAGCTATATAAAACATATAAAATCAATAATCCATCTTTGGGCCTGATCAGATCAGTACAGATAAAATCAAAACATGCATGAATTATCAAATCAGGTCATAATTAAAGAAATGCATTTTAATCAAGCAATGCATGAACAACTTCACTGTCATGAAAAAACCTGAAAAAATGGAAGGAAACCAGTAGCGGCTGGGGAATAAAGGGCGCTGCTCCAATCACACGATGACCTTTATCAAGACTTAAAAAAACAAATAAAACTTAAATTATAAATTGAAAATATTTTGAAATATATAAGTATATTTTTAGATTTAAAAGATACATTTCTAATCTTTAGTAAAGTAAAGCTGTTTTGTTTTTCGTCGAATTGGGGATTTTTGATTTTTTATCAAGGCTTGGCTGACTGCATGCAGCAAGGCTAATGTTTTATTGTGCTTTCCCTGCCTCCTTTTTCAAATGTCATCTTCTGACCCAGCATGGATTAACAGCTATGACAGCTATGACTGATTTAAACCACTTTTCAGAAATGTTCAAAAACATCTGGCTGCAGACCTGCACTGTCAGGCCCCTTCATTGCAGACATGCAAACTGGGGTCTCCTGCACTGTCAGGACTGGAAATTTATTCCGGAAGTCGCATTCAAGGCCTTCATGAATAGTGTGCAACACGTGTTCGCTTTCGGATTAGAGTTTATCACAGTGTTAAACTGAGCAAAGAAGCAGTTTAAATTGTACAGCAAGCAAAAATCCTTAATAAGTCTTATAGGCCCTTTTCCAACCAGCGATCTAAATACAAAGGCTTATTTCTATATAGCACATATCTATCATTCCAGATAGGAGTTTGGAGGGGAGTAAAATTGTGCGTCTACATAACATTCCAGCATAACAACACTTGTTTGTTAAAGGAAGATAGCTTCATGGTGAGTTTATCGACACTAGCCTCTACTTTAGAAAGTATCAAATCAACTTTGCTTTTACTTTGAAAGTCTTTGAATAAACTTCTGGTCTTAACTATGTTTTTTTTTTTTATTCTTGGCATTGAGGTAAATATACTGGTGTGATACCTTAGTATGCATTTGAAACAGAAAACTCCACCAGCCCCGCCACTGGAGAAAAACCTGAACTGCAATTTAGATTTTGTTAAGACTAAACTGATCCAATTATTCATAAAATCAAAATCATAAAAAAATATTTTACATTTAGTAATTCTTTGTTAGTAATATTTAATAATTCTCAGTTGTAAGAAAGGGAGCCTTTCAGTCCCTTTTCTTGGTCGGTGATCGCCATCTCCAGCGCCAGAGGACGCAGTGAAGCCCCGCCCAGCAGAGGGCAGATCCAGCTGTTATTGTTAGCAGCAGAGCCGCTAAAATGTCCAGACTGTAGAACTGGAACCAGTACAGGTCATGTGACGCCTGCCTCAGGTGTCTAGCTCCTCCATGCCGCATCACAAATTCTACCCAGAATGCAGCGGTGGCTAGCGGTGCCACAGGCTGTTGCTGCTGCAGTGAAGACAGGCGCTGCATATTTGACCTGAAACTGCACGCCATGGGAAGAAAATTTATGTCAACATTATTGTTGTTCTTTGATAACAAAAAAAATAAAAATAAATTTAAAGTAACATCGTGCCTCTTGGATGACATCATCCTCACCTTGGCTCATGGATTACGGCATGCAGAGCTTCCACCAGCTCATCCACTGTCATGAGATTGAAGTGAAGAACGACTGCGGCGCCGCGGCGGCTCAGACGGGCCAGATTATCTGGCTGATCCCCAAACAGCGGAATACCCACCACTGGCACACCGTGAAACAAAGCTTCATATAAACCATTTGTGCCGCCATGTGTCACAAATGCTCGGGTCAGCGGATGGCCTGAAGGTCAGACATGGAGCTCTTATTGTGAAAGTTTTATAAAAAGGAAGAGGAGCTGATTACTGGATTATCTATGATAATAGATTCAAATTATTTTACTTGGATAATATATAACAGGAAGAATGTATGTAAGGTAAGACAGCTGTCAATACAGAAATAATTCAAGCTTTAAATCTTTTGCTCCTTCAACTCATACATGCATGGTATCATCATTTTAGATGTTACAAAGTTTGAACTTTGCAAAAAATACAAGTACAAATCACAAATTTACAAGAAGAAATCTACAAACCCAGATGAAGCTGTTACACTCCTTTCCACTTGGTGGCGGTAACCTTCAATTTGTTCAACAGCTGATTCTAAACAAGAAGAGGGACATAAGGAAAACTAAATGATTTATTTAGCATTATATCTTTGCTAAAATGTTTTCTGCACATCATGATGTTTGATTTGATCAATGGTTTTGGTTTTGTCTTCTTCCTCCTCGTTTGATGGGTGTTTGTGAGCAGCTTTCAGGTCCATTACTGCCACCAATGGTTAAGAGTGTAATAATTAGTCATTCATACTTGTAAAGCTGTGAATGATTCTCATAAATTTGAGTTTTGTATTTGAAAAATTGTGTTTAGTTCTTGTGATTGGTTCTTATAAATTTTGATTTGTATTTGTATTTTTACCAGTAATAATTTCGTAATTAGTACTGGTAAATTTGTCCCTTATTTTAAAAAGTTTTTATTTATATTTGTAGAGTGGTACTCTTAAAATATTTTATCCGTGATTGTAAAATTGTTTTTATTTCTAATCATAGATGTGTGATTAGTATTCATAAATTAGAGATTGATTATAGTACATTATTGACAACTACTTGTAAATGTATGTCTTGTATTTGTGGTACTCTTAAATTGGTGATTGACTTGTATTTCCTTAGAAATGAACCATCTGATGTCACATATATATGTGTGAGTTGATAAGAAATAAATACAAATCTTAAATGTATTTAGGTTTGTTACATTTACAAATTTAGACAGCTACACGTTTGTTTTTATTGACAGTTATCTTATCCTATGGACAGAGATCAGGCTTTTATTTTGAAAAGCTAAGACTGGAGTTTATACCAAGCAAGTCATTCTGAGGGATCCAATCATAAAGCTTCGTATTTGCTGACAGGGTTCTTGGAGTTTCGCCACGATAACGCCAAATGACCTGAAAAACGTCACAGGTGGTAATGAGTGAGAGTAAACACCTGTTGGAAGTCAGTGAGTGAGTAGAACCTCTGACCTTCTGTGGTATTCGTCCCAAAGCAGTGGCAATGACATCAGCTCTGTCTGGTGTCAGATGGGTTACCATGGAGCCAAAGGTGACCACCACCACACCAGCATCACCAGAGCTCTGCATAAATGCCTCCAGGTCCTGCAGAAAGTGACATAAGTTTTATGTCATTCCATCACTTTTATCTGTAAATGAAACAGGAAGTTAAACCGTGCCTCTGGCAGCTGATTGGCTGGTCTGCAGTGAAGACCGCCCACATAGAAAAAGTTTGGCTGTATTGGTCGTGCCGTCTCCATGTCCCAAAAGGTCCTGATCAGCCAAACCTCGGCCCTCCCAATGGAGCTACAGAAACTGCTAGTACTTCCTGTTCACACAGTAAATACTATGTAAGACGTCTTTTAGTGGACAAAAAGTTATTTTTACAATGACAGAAAATTACATTTTTATCCTGACAGTGTCGAAATCTGTTTCCTAATATCCACCCCAGGTTCTTATTTCTTTGGATGTGAGGTGTGATGGACATAGAGCCAACATGATGTCAGTTTTTTCTGACTGGTTTTACATAAAAAATGTTTTAAATGTTGTAAGAAACTTTCAACAGAAAAATAGAGACCATACTTTAATGTAAATGTACTCCAACAATGATGATAAACCTTTAAAGAATAGATAATCGTGACTATAAATTATAACAGCACATTCCATTAACTTCAAATCTCAAATTTAACGACTTGTAAAGACACACTCACAGTTAGTTTCTAAACTTTGAACAGCATGAATAATAAAGAACTGCTGCAAACTGTAAAAGTCGCTTTAACTGCTGTTGACATGAGCAGCTAGCTCAGAGAAAAAAGGTAAATGGCGCCAAACAGAGGTGATTATTGGAAGTACAGTTTATCATAATGCAGGGATGAGAACAGTTCCATCTGAATTTAATGAAAATAGTTGTTTTAAATTGTTATTGATTCAGATAAGGTGCGGATAATGTTTGGTTTATTAAAAAAAGGTTTTATCTGTCCTCGTGCAAATGGGTTGAATCCATAAACAAAACTCTTTCTGCCTCCTTATTTTCACAGATGCAGCCTCTGAAATTGAATACACACTATGGGCAAAGATTTTTGTGCCCCAGGGAGGAAATACTTCACCAATCTGACGACAACTAAAACAGCTTTACTTGAATTTAAAGATTAAATATTTTCTTGCACATCTAAAAAATATCTTAATATATTTCTGAATATTCATAATATTTAATTTATAATTAAATTTTTATTAGTTTTTTTTAATGCTTGATCAAGATCATTGGGTGAGTGGGGCTCTGCTCTTGCGTCCTATTGGCCAGCCGCTACTGGTTGAATTTTTAATTAACTTGTGACTGGTGAAACCGTCCCCTATCCAATCATGATCAAGTCCTGATGATTCAATAACTACCCAAGTCCTCTAATGGTTTGTTTCCAGTGTGACTAGAAAAAAGGCACTAGTGACAGATCTATGTAATGGTTACTAATGTGAACATCAAAAAGTAGAATCACTCCATATTGAATCGTTTTAAATTGGCTTAAATGGAAAAGGGGCGTGACCCACTGTCTATAGGTAAATCCCTGATTATTGGAATCGCCAATTTTGGTAGAATAGTGACATTTCCACGAGGGAGAAGTTCTGTCGTGTTCAGAATTCCAACTTTTGAAATGAGTAAATATGAAATTATTATTATTATTGTTCAAAAAATGAGAAGTGTTTTTAATTAAGAGTAAATTTCATTTGAATGTGCTTTACAGGAGGCATCCATGTTTGTCAAAGAACACTACTGCCACCTACTGGTTAGTGACGTTCAGGAATCGGAAAGG